GGAGGGAGAGAAGTGGACAAACAGAAGGAAGTTGGAGATCCATTGGGATAATGGGCGTTGATTTTGCAACAGCTCAACTCACTCCTTCCCCCTCTACCGGTTCAACACTGAAGCACTGCCTGCCTTCCCTGCCACCCTACCTACCTTAATGCGTTGACAATCATAACGGCAAGAGCGCTCGCTGACTGAACCTTCCATTAGGCTGCCTCGAAATCACCCGGGAGTTCTTGCCAATCTTGATGATCTTGCCCGTTGCATACGAATCATGCCTACATCGGGGTCTCACTTTACAGCTCAAGCACCCCTATTACCAGTGTTTTTTCTGGGATTGCTCGCTACTGAAACTGTACACAAGAATGTTTCAATGGATTGGTTCGAACAAGTGGTTCAAACGCCAGTCCGCAGTGTAAGTGCAAAGAAGAGAAACGCAAACCTCCCATTTTTCAGTAATCTATGGCAAGACGCAGGCTGGCTAATTGCCTGTCACCTCAGAGCGTCCCCCCCTTGTACGACGCACTTTTGCGCATCTGGGGGTGGATTGACGAAGAAGTACAAATCCCACGAGATCCAACTGCTCTCTCCAAAGATATCGGTAAGAGGTACCCTTGGTGGGAACACCTTGTTGCAAAGGTCCTCCAAGCAGAAGAGGAGATACTGTGCCTAACTTGATAGCCATTGTGTACCGAAGGTAACCTCGTAAGTGATCCTGTGGGATGTACTTACGCTTCATGCATATGGTTTATGGACCAGTGGCTGCTTTACGTTGCTGGCTATTGATCGAGGCTGATTTGGATATTTGTTGCAATGAAAGTGGTTGGAGTGCCTGTAATAGCACACCCGCTGGTATGAGGAGGGAAGGAGCGTCGGGTATCGAAAGGACTCGATGTACCAGACAATATATGAGTGATCTTGTGGCAATATTTCCAGACTACCATAGAGTTGTATCAAATGGATCGCTCCATTTTCTCATCATACTGTGAAGATATCTAACAGTCAACGCAGACCTCACTAGGGTCGAAATTAAGGCTTGTGACAAACGTGCATCCAACCGTATCCAGATGGCAAGTAAGGACGGGTTGCCATGTTTGGCTTGGATATTGCAAGTCGCTGGTGAGGCTTCCGGTGAATCCACAGCAAGTTTAGGGTGTACAGAAAGGAGCAAGCCCTGAGAGCGTAGCCTGATGTCCCAGATGAAGCAGCGGCCGCGGTTACGTGTCCTAGTTTTATGCTGGCTGCAACGTTGAAATGTTGGCCAACTACAACGTATTCCCTTTGTACTTTATATACGCTCAGCGGCCTTCAGTTGAGTTCCTACCCACCAAATAGGATGGCTGAAACCTAGGCGGCTAGGTTATTCTTGCACCTTGTAGAAAGAGGTCTCTGCGGCTCTGTCATTCCTTTCAGGTAACAGCGCCTGCCAGGGTAAAACATGCAGCTTGTAACGTAGCACGCATCCTGAGCCACCCACAAAAACGATTTGTCATAGAATCTGGAGAAGAAAAGATAAGCGGACCGGAAGAGTTTCTGCCTAACCATGAGTGCGGGATGGAAACGGGTTTAGTGTTATGTTGCATGCCACATCGAAAGTTTCAATGAGTATATAAGCGACTGATCAAAACAGCTCTTTTCAAAAGCTAGTCAAACATAGATGTCACAGATGTTTAAGGGTCTTATGGTGGTCGGCCAGGCGAGTAAAGGTAAGTTTCTTGGACAGCATCGATGACACCACATTTTCTACCTTCCCTATTTCAATGAGCTCCAACAACTTTTCACAGAGCTTTGTCCACAAAGCTAACTTCAATAAAGCGGAAGTAGACCATGCTTCCAAAACTCAATCGTCTCCAAGGGTGTTTCTAGTAACATTCACGGCCAAAGACAGACACCCCGTCGTAGCGTTGGTGAAAATAGCGCATGTTGAGGTCGGCCACCCACCGGCCATCCGACGCAAGCAGGCTGGCTGTCCATTCCATTTCCATCCACGCAGCCTCTTGTAGAATGGATGGACGTCCATTTAGGCCCACCTTGGATGGGATGGATGGAAATG